CCTGTAATTCTTAGATTAGTTTGGCAATTCTTATATGAAGAGAATTAAAATACAAGATAAAATTATATACTCATGTATTTGAAAGTAAATGGCTATGAATGTTAAAATGATAGATATTCAGCTCTAATAATAGACACTAAAACTAAGTCTATGTTAGTGGTAATGTAACAAATTGGATTGTATCACGATTACATACCTGTACACCCTTTGTTTTCACTTTCATTTCAGTGGGAACAATGTAATTTTCACGCAATCCAAAAGACAATCTTTTTCACTTATTTAAAACTATTCAGTTCTTTGGAAAGGAATAAATTATGTGTCTTCTCACCACACAATCAAGACCCTTAATCAACATTTATACATCAGCTCCATTTTACTTGCACAGCTGAAGAATAAATTTTTCAAATCTTAATGGCCTCTAGTATTCTCAGAGACTGATCATCCATCTTTATTTGTTCTAGGTCCTTAGTTTTTGTCTCAGTCTACTGAAGCTTATCTCAGAAATTCAGCTGCCTTTCATGGAAGCCACAGTAGCTTAGAAGGCATCCAACTTCTACATATATTTCTGTATGCCCATCAGAATAAATCATATAGTTCTGGGAAGACTGTAATCACAATACTGATCATTGAAAAGTCAAAGGGAGGCAGCCTTCATGAAGGGCTGCCAACAGTAGGGGCCCTGTTCATGTGTCTTTGATATTCCAGAAACTCGCAATCACTTGAGATACCACTTCTGCAACTTTTAAGGAAGAGCTTTTGATCTCCTAAACTATGAAATTTTTATTCATTTTCTTTTTTTCTTCTTCATCTTATTGCTTTATAGTTAAACTGATATATAGTTCTCATGAGAATTATGTCTCCCCTACTGAAATTGATTAATTTTAAGGATATTTTATATTTATGCTATATTTTCTGAATGGAAGTAGACTTGGGAGCAGAGCACAATGTTAAATTGCTTTGAATGACTGAGTGAAATAATGTAGCTCATCTGAAGGCAAGCAATCACTTGGCATACAAAAAATATGCTGGGTGAAAGAAATTTAAACATTCTCATCTGAGTTAATTACAGTTTAATTGTAATTAAGTTGAAGAACAACATAGATTTTCTCATTTTAAATAAATATTCTAATTCCCTCTCATTTCATGAAGATCAGCAACAAATTAATCTTCTGATCTTGAAATTGCATTAATGGCTTAACATTAGAGACAAAGCAGCTTGTTACGTATCTGTAAAATAAGCACAGATTAATGCTGCAAAGATAGTATTAATTTGACCTGTATTCTGACTAGTTTTAGCTCTATGTTGGTAGGTATAATCTATAGGTGGAGGAGTGCCATTCCAGGACCTGGAAGTACATGCACAAACATGTGAACCATGCATTCATTGAAATTACATACAGCAGAAGGAATGAAAATTCAACTCTCTAGTTTGGAGTTTAAGCAGTTCCAGGTTCTGAGGCAATTTCAATTATATATCAGACTGTAAACTAAAATGTGTTTCCAGAATATGCAAACTCTAGTTAATGAGGGTGGCTATATAAAAACTGCTCCTCTGTTGGTGTCTGATGGCATACTAGAACAGTTTGCTGTTTTTCCTCCTTTATCAGAAGATTAGAGGATGCTGATTTTCCCTCTTCTCTTAAGAATATATATTTTTATCTCTACCTTTCCTTAGGAATGATGTATGTTTTCAAGGGGTTACTTTTCCTAATTAGTTGTCTGCACAGGAATAAAAATTCCTGGAAAAGATCATTAGCTGGTATAAATTATCATAGCTCCATTGACAATGGAACTATGGCAGTTTACATCACCTGAAAATCTGCCCCCCTGTTGTTAAGGGCAAAACATTCTGTGAGTTAACTGTATATAATACACCTGTAAAAGAGAGATTTTATTTTCTTTTGCATTCTTTGTCATAATGAAAGCTTCAGTGATACATTGATAGATTAATGACATAATCCTGTTGATTTATTTGAAGTCTGTTGAATTACTTTTAATAGATATATGGGAAGGAATTACTTATAGACCCCCACCACACAGCACACTAAGGACAGTATGCTAATGCCACTGGTTGCATTAAAGTCAGAACAATACTAAACCAAGAATTAATGTATGCAATGTAGTTGTAGCTATGTCAGTCCCAGAATATTAGAGACAGAAGTTGGTCCAATAAAAGATATTACCTCACCCACCTTGTCTGTCCCTCCCAAGAATTAATGTCTGTTAACAAACATTGAGAGCCAAAGCAAAGTGGGATTATCTTTAGTCTTCACTCCTACTATTAAAATAACAAAGGGAAGGAATTTTTAACATCCTGGTACTGTCTACTTCCTTTAGTAGCTAGTATAGCCAGATCCAGTAACTCCCATTACTAGTATCCAGTGATGGGAGAACGGAACCCCTCGTGATTCTAGTAATGAAGTTTTTGACAGTGTCCCAATTCTACTCTCAGGGGGAACCAGTGCAAAGGATCAAATGTATGAGAAAGAAGAGAAGAGATTGAGCCAAGACAAGAAAGGAACTTTGTATTTTGTCCCTTCTTATGTCCCAGGGACTGCTTCATATTGAATTCCTAACTTTCAAAGTAGTTTGTTCAGCATAAGCAAGTACAGGAGTTCTTCCTAGTCAATGCCAATTTAAATCAAACATTTATCTCTAACTGGCCAAGAATTCAAGTGTAGACAACTAGAATGCAAAATAACTAAAGTTGACAAGCAGAACGGGCTTCATCTACCATATTCACGGGGGGAGAGGGAAAGTTCAGTGGTTTGAGCATTGGCCTGCTAAACCCAGGGTTGTGAGTTCAATCCTTGAGGGGGCCATTTAGAGTTCTGGAGCAGAAATTGGGGATTGGTCCTGCTTTGAGCAGGGGGTTGGACTAGATGACCTCCTGAGGTCCCTTCCAACCCTGGTATTCTGTGATTCTAAGCTATGTTAAAGTAATGCCAGGAGTCTGCCATAAATGCCTTGAAATCCAGACTGAGGGATCAAACTCCATCTTTACTTCACCTTTTGCACCTAGATACCATAAGGTGGGTCCAGCAGTGAGTGATTCTGCATACTATGATCCCAATCCTGCAAATTCTTACTCTTCTGAATAGCATTCCTCCCTCTTGTAAGTAAGTCTATGGAAGCCAGTAGGACAACTCAGGGCGTAAAGGTTTGGACATTAGGGCTCCATATTTGCTGTGTTATGAAAGGACAAAAGTGCACACACTAAACTGCATTGCTTTTGCTATTTGAAACCAGATCTTTGTTATTATTTTACCTTTTTTAGGGTTTGTGAATGGGTTCCCTCAATGTAAGTCAGAAAATGAGGATCGCTCCATTAAAGTACAGATAAATTGCCACACAAGAGGTCAATGGCTTGTTTCAAGAAATTCTAATAACCTCTGTAGAAGATGTGCTTAGATCATTTTAGTCACTTTAGTACTGTATGAGTACAAAAGCTTAATAAAAATGTGTAAAATATTAGTAGTAAAAATCTTATTCCAAACTCTCAGAAGCAGTTTTAGTGCATGCAGACTAGCCACTTTTCAAAGTTAACTTTTCACTTATTTGCCTAATACGGTTGTTTTAAGCTTTGTGTTTTACCAGTGAAGAAGTCCTAAGAAACCAATAAATTACTTTTTCACACATTCATATAATCTATTCATATAATTACTAAATAGCCACACTAAAGAGTATAAAGAGTAAAAATTGTCAGGAATTTTCAAATGAAGAAGAAGAGAAAAGCAACAGCATTCAGAAGCACAGAGCAGCACAGCAGCATCATAACCTTGGTTCAGGCCCAAAGATATCTGTAATTCTGCCAACACAGAAGACACTAGAACTATCCAAGGATCCAAATGCAAGCATTAGAAGGAAATCTTTTAAAGCTTGGTGTCTCATCCAAAGAGGCAGAAAAGGGGAGATATACCGGGACTTGTTTAGGGAGATTAAATTAGAAACATTTTCTCTATTAAAATAAAACAAAACAGTGTAAAAATACTAACCTCTGCTTTTCCAGATACTAAAATATTTTCCTGCATAGATGGTGGATTAGATAAGATTTCATTTTTGATGAGACTGAAGATTTTATTTTGTTTTTGCATCATTTAATTTTTATATGTTCCACTTTCCTTTTGGTAACTACCCAATTAATTCACATTTGAATTATTTTAAAGCTCTGCCTTAAGTCAGCAGAAGGCAGGAAAATTAAACAGAAAATGTAAAGGCCTCCAATCCACGCATATACATGCACATTTGTGTGTGCAAGATGAGCAGTTGTTCACCTAACAGCAGATAGAATCTCTATGTGTGCATGCAAATATTGTAAGTAATTGTGAAAATTTTTCATGTTGCAGACATTTTCACACACTAATTCTGCAAGTGCATGCTATTCAAGGAAGGGACCATTTCTTTGTCTTTTTAATGGAACAAAGTCATGAAGCCTAAAATCTTGGAGCCAGTACTCTAAGGCTTATTTTGGTACAATATTTTACCATCATCCTGAAATGCATCTCATGTCTCCCAAAGCAACAACTGTAACACTGTTTAAATTCCAATTTCTCTGTTCATGCCAAGGGACTTGCATCCCCCAAACCCAGGGAAATGGGATTATTTGTGATTGCAAATTCCCATTTACACTGTTCTCCATCCTCCTCCTTTGCTTGCCTGCCTGCAGAAAGGATTCTTAAAATGCTAGTCCTACTTCACATACATTCCTTTAAGATGGTCTAGACTCTACCTTACATTTTCAAAAAATGGCTTATTTTGGAGTTGTCTCAATTATCAGCCCAACTTTAAACACCTAGGAGTTAATTTTCATTTGCCCTGAGTACCTCCATTTCCTATTGACTTCACTTGATGTTATGGGCACATAGGAAATTAGGCTCTAGGTGCACCAACTTGGGATCTTAAAATTAATTATGACTTTTGAGAATTTCAACATAAATTTTATGAGTCTACTGTAATTTTGCGAGAGAATCTCACTTTCTGGTTATTGTACTGTTCTTTAGCTGCTAGGAAAAGAAAAATGCTGTAAACAGATCAGTGTATCCATGGCAATGTGCAGTTCAGCTTCTGATATTTCAACACAACAGGTAACTCCTCTTTTCTTTCACATTGTTCCATATTTTCAAAAATTTAAAATAGCAATAATGACCTCTAAGTTCGCATCTCCTGTCAGTTAGTGACCAGCTGCGTTAAAGGCTCCTCAGCTTCACCATGGGCCTTCAGATCTTCCAGCTAGTCATTAACAGCAAGGAAATACCTCCCAATTAGTAATTACTGATCAAAGTCTGATGGTCATCACTACCATAAATTCCGAAAAACAGTTAGCATTCTTCTTTGGAAAACTACAGTAAGGAATTTAAATCTCTTTGAATGCTAACTACATACAATATTTTAGTATTCTAAAATTTCAAGGGCTATCATCCATTTTAACTCATGAGTTTGTGTAAACTGTATTTATAGCCACCATATATTATTTCTGTTTATCTTTCATAGACACAAATATGTAGACATTGCAGTTCAAATAAAATAAGGTGCCACATCTTTAATTCAGAGGAGTGGCTCTCAATTTATACTGATATAATAGATCACAATTTAGGTATAGTCTGTAATGGATTAATGGCTACAGGATTTGTAGGAAAAGGTGGAGGCTGTGTCTGCATCATGTACTGAGTGCATATACTCAACTTTTGTCAAAATATTTCATAACTTTATGATCACAGTAGATCCAAGATTATTTCTGTATTCCCAAGTAGTATCAATGACCTAAAGTTTTTTCTGCAGCCAGTGAGGACACTACAACCATTTTTCTCTATTGTGGACCTCTCAATAATCATGCAAATATTTCTTAATTCCAACCTTCAGTACAGCAATTGAGTCTACATTGGGCTCATCTCGAAGTATGTGCAGAAGCTCTAGATCATCTTTTGTGATTCTTGTGGGAATGAAAACATAGAATTAGTACTCAAGTCTCTGAACATACATACTGTTCTCTTTGGGATACACAGCAAGATACTAATGAATGATCTGCATAGCACCTGCATAGCCTGGGATGTGGTTTATAGAGAGCACACTTATCAATTTATAGATCATTAAATCAATTAAGATCAGCGGGGAAGCAGTTTCATCCCAAAATGAAGTATGAAGACTTCAACTGGGATTTTCGAAACTGCTCAGTGTTGACCTAATTCTGTTCCTGTTGAAGCCAAATGGAATTAAATGGGAGCAGAATTAGGCTATTGCTGAGACTTCAGAAAATCTCACTCTTCGTGTCCAGTAGGATGGCTTTCTGAATTGAGGATCTCCATCATTAAAATTCACCCTGCTTGGGAGCCTAATAGAGCCAGAATCAAGCAACATTCAGTGCAAGAGGTATTTTATTATTTAGGATGTAATTGTTTATTTTCTTCTTGTTTTGTATTTGAATATTCTTTAAAGTTAGTGGCTACCCCAGTGACAAAGGCTTATAGCAATCAGCAAAATAACTAGCCAAGCTGAATCACATATATGGAACACCACAAATAAAACCCAGTGACCTCATAACCTTTGAGTCCATAAATACTGGTCTCTATCACTTGGGCGAAAGGAGAATTTCATATTAGCTGTAGTAACAGCAAACTTTTATCCTTTGGAAGGCAGCCTCTTGAGAATAATATAGGCACATATAGTTGCTTGATACTGCATCCCCAGGGAGTGGGACTAGAGTGGTTAGCATTCAGTGGCTATTATATTGCATTTACAAGTGTAATCCTTAGAAGTGAAAATGTATCATCTGGATTCAGGGAATTCCAAATGGAATTTAAAAAGAGGGACTTCAAAACACTAACAGGGCTCAAACCAAGTGAAAATTCTACTGAGACACTAAACTCTAAACTTAAGGTGGACTCCAAATACAACATTACCAAGAAAACATGGACAGATGGATAAGAAAGGAATAAAATAAAATGGGGGGACTGTACACCTCAAACATTAGAAGGAGCGCAGAAGAGCTTTTATTTGGGTCTAGCAAATAGGAACCAATATGTAAAGAATTTGGGGGTCACAAACTAATGGACACCACAATCACCAATTTGAACCACAAACTTGTGGCATTAGAGGGAGAACCCTAGGACCTTTAGCTCCCACGGGCAGGCCTATACCCCCTGAGGTCAGGGAAGGATTTGTAGTAGAAGCCTGTAGACTGTAGTTGCAAGAGAAACAAGATAGGGAACATTTTTGAACAGATTTGGCATGCCGACCAGTAGAAGGCACCACAATGATGCCAGCTATTACAAATTACCATGGTGAGTCAGTAGTACAAAGACCTTTCTGTTACAGTTTATAATTAGAATAAAGCAACAGCACCATTCTTTTTTTATTCAAGAATCCTTTGACCAGTAATAAGTATCTTATTCCGAAGAGTCACCTTATTACAGAAACACATTGATATGTTCTAGTTGAATATAGCTAATGCCAAAGATAATTTGCTTCACCACTCAGCATGACAGTTCTAATTGCATTATATAACACTTTCTTTTCTTTTCTTTTCTTTTCTTTTCTTTCCAACTATGCTAGTACTTTGTACATATGTAGTTAGAAAATGTTTTAAATTGTTCTGTAAAATTACATTTAATTGGAATCTTAATTTGAGTCTAAAGCACTTCTCCTCTCTGGAATTTACCAAGATGTAGTCTTGCCTGTACAACTTTCAGGCATGTGTTTAACTTAGGGGTTTTTGAGTACTTGGGTTTTTAGAGTGGGAAGGAGAAACTACCAATGTTATAGGGGGGAGTTTATCAAGTCTGACCCCAGATTAAACTATTTGTTATCAAGTCTGACCCCAGGTTAAATTATTTTTTGTAGATAGCAGAATAAATGAAATTTATGTGGATCAGGGCTTTAAATCTATATTTTTATAAACTTTCAAATGGAAACAGGGAGAGATTTTGATTTTTAAAAAAGTAGATGTGTACAAGTACTCTTACTTTAACATAAATAAATATTATAGAAAAATAACTTCCCAATGTTGTTCAAGGTCAGTTTTATTTTTCTGCAATGTTTTTACAGCTGCTACTGATGTTAAAGAAATATTTCTTTCTGCTTCACAAGCCACAAATACCACATCATTTGATCAGTGATGAACATCTGTCCAATTTCAGCTGAAGAATAACATTGCCTTGATACTCTTTACTCTATACAACAGCATATATCCTTTTATTATAGATTTCCATTCATAACTACACATCCCTTCCTTTGGAATCCAGGAGGGGCTGTGGTTATGGAGAAACACTACCTTTTATGGGACAAACAAGATGAGAATTTAAATCAGGATCTAGTAGGTTCAAGAATTTGCTGCTACCTCATGTATCTTACGTTTTATATACGTTTAGACCTTACATTTTTAAGCTTTCATTCTGCTTTCCACACCATTTATATGTAGAATGTTTAGATAAATCATTATTTATAGTTCCATAATACTGCAATACATGCTTTGTTTATAAATATAACTGTTTTCCTGAAATTTTCCTATCCCCCTTCATTTAAAATATACCTAATAATAGGAGTCACTGCTCTGGAGTTAATTTTAAATCTGTAAACCAGCTAGGTTCTTCTTATAATTGATTTTACTCATGATGCAACTAGCTCTGATACTGACTAAAACCAAATATTTTACAGTTGGTACCGTCTTTTCCAAGTAAAATAAGTGAAACCTGAACTTAGTGCTTGAACATAGAACATAAGAACAGCCATACTGGGTCAGACTAATGGTCCATCTAGACTAGTATCCTGTCTTCCGACAGTGGCCAGTGCCAGGTGGTTCAGAAAGAATGAACAGAACAGGCCATCATTAAATCATCTGTTCTCTGTCACCCGTTCCCAAGTTCTGGCAAACAGAGGCTAGGGACACTTCAGAGCGTGGTTTTGGTTTCCTGCCCATCCTGGCTAATAGCCATTGATGGACCTATCCTCCATGAATTTATCTAGTTCTTTTTTGAACCCTGTTATAGTCTTGGCCTTCACAATATCCTCTGACAAAGAATTCCACAGATTGACTGTGCATTTACAAATGTCTGGTTTCCAAAGGACACTGTTTCTAGTAGATAGGAAATTATTCCTTGTTCTTTCTCTGCATACTGCATGCTAGTGTTGGTGTTATGAAATTTTCACAACTTTGCTTTTCTGAGCTGAATAGTAAGTTAAAAATTTGGCCACCAAAACTAAATTTGGAGGAATTTTTAGGCAGTACCATTCTCAAAATGTTTGTTTGTATCTAAGAACCTGAAGCAGTTGTGGCTTCATCTTGCAGATTTTATTCAAGTGAACAGTCCTTATTCACAAGAATAGTTTCAATTACTTCCCTCCTTACTCTCACAAATAGTTCCACTGACCTTTTGAGTCAGTGGCACTGCCTGTGAGAGGAAAGAGGAGGTAGCAGAATTAGGGCCCATATTTGTGGGCATAAAGAATGAGGAGTTGTGAGAGCAGTAGCCACTCTGAACATAGGGATTGAGAGCTAATCAAAGTGGAGAGGTTTGTATAATAACCATGAACCAGATATGGACCTCCCTAGATCTACATGTGCAGGAAACCTACCATCTTGCACATGGAAGGCGCATTTGGGCACCTGCCTACCCCATCCACTCCCACCCAAGGGTCAGTGCAAGGACAAGGAGTTTAGACTAGGTGGTCAATGAAGAGAAGTGCATATTCAGTGGTAAGGCTAGATGTGGGTACTTATTGCTGTCCACACAAAACTTATCTGGAAAAGAAATACAGCCCCAGTCTGTATTATCTTTGTGCAGAGTCGTCGTGTCCGTCCCCCCCAGCCCCGTATTGCCTGTTCCCCTGATTTAACTGATCCCAAGGAAGTAAGGGGAATCCTGGCAGACTGACTCAGTTGGAGCCCTACACTCCTCCCCTGTCCTCCCCTCCTACAAATTAGGGTAAATTCACCACATTTGGGGCAGGGCCTCCAGGCTTTACCATGGGGAAACAAATCCTACATAGCCCCAATGTGATGCTATAGGGGAATCTCCATGAGAAGATCCTCACAAAGAGAGACTCCCCTTCTGTGGCTTTCAGCACAATAATTTTGCAAATCTCTTTGCTC